TACAGCAAAGGAGTGGAATAGCTGGGCGTCTTCAAGGCAAGAGTGAATAGGTTTTTGTTACGATAAGACAGTGCGATTTACCATCATCACCACTTACCACCTGGGATTGTGGTCAAGCACTGACTTATAATAATTAAAAAAATATATAATAGTTTAAAAAAACTAAAAAACACGCTTTTTAGATAGTCGAACTAAAAAGTAGAAAATAATTTTCAATAATTTAACAGTGGTAGAGCCACGCGGCAGCTCTTGCTGTCGCACGGATGGGCCGGCTCGAACCGGGGTGGTACCACGACCTCACAGAAAACCAGCGTGAAGTAGAGGTTTACCTCTGCGTTTCGCTTGGTGAGTGCAGGTGGCCGGAGGCCCTCTTTACTGGAAATGAGGCATTCCATCTAAGTCCTCACGGGTGACAACGCATCTACATTTTGATTTGTAATAGAGGATAGATGTAGATGTCTATGGGCCGCAGCAACCACTTACCATCAGGTGGACTGTGTGCTCGTTTGTCACCCTTATCCTATAAAAAAAAAGTTTAAAATAAGAAAATAGTGATTGACAGAAAAAAAAATTTATTGTAAAAAAGCGTGGGATATTTTTCCGATATATTTATGATGACGCTAATTTTACAAATATCCATAAAAATATTTACATCAAACGGCATCATGCACCCCACGCTTCTTTAAAATTAATTTTTTTTTTATGGTAATCGCTATTTTCTTATTTTAAACTTATTGACTTTTTATTTCGGTTATATACAAAATTGTGTTTTTTTAAACTATTATATTTTTTCCATTTCTTAGTGCGGCTAACTACAAAAGCGTGCTTTTTTGGAACGAAGTTCTTTTACGCGGCTTACAGTAGATTGAACTGGCAGAAATCGTCGTTGTTTTATTAATTATTCGCAAATCCTGAGGATCCTGGCTAGGATAGTTTCAAATTAAGGGAATGAAAATCACATTAAAAAATTCCGTTACATAGATACATACTAAGCTAATGAAAGTGTGTTAAAAAGATACAAAATAAAGATCAAAAATAATTAAAGATGTCGTTGCAGAATAGACTCGTATTGGAACAGTCGCGTCGTGTGATCATAAATTGCTTGGGTTTGATTAAGGCGGCGCGAGGCTTGCACTGGACTCCATGCACCATTCGCCCTCTACTATTGCACCGGTGCATCCAAATATAAAGGATGTGTCTAAAACATAAAATTGATGATTTTTTTTAACTTATATTTGTGTAAAAAATAATATTTATTAATTACAAAATGAGAGAGCCATGGTAGCACAGATGGTTAGCGCTCGCTGTAAATTTCAGAGTACGCGAGCAACCCGCCGGTACTGTGAAATTTACAGCGAGTTCGATCCCCGCAGGCACCAGTGAAATTGTTAATTGCAATTTTAAGTGCTGATTTACCACGTGCTCGGTGGTGAAGGAAACCTGCATGTCCGAGAAATAAGAAAAAAATAATTCTAAGACATGTGAAGTTCGCTAACACGCATTGGGGTGGCGCGGCGGACATTTCCTTGCCCTAAAACCCTCTCAGATATGAGAGGAGGCCTGTGCCCAGCAGTGGGACGTATATAGGCTGTATCTTATTTTTTAACTTTAAATGTAAAAATAGAAATTATATGAGAGTTTAATTATACCTCTCTGTCTGTTACCTGGCAATTTATTAAGTAAGTTTAAATTTTTATAACTTATATAACAAAAATTTTTATAACTTAGATTAGTTTAAAAAAAATATAAACTAATTTAATCTATCATCACATTTGATTAAAATTTATATAGATCGTCGTAAAAGTTTACCATAGCATACTCTACATAAAATCATATTATAGGCTTAAAATATTTATATCCATATGATATTTATCTCAAAAACTGACAGTTCGACATATTTGGAGTAATTCCATAAAAAAAACATTTGATTTTTTGTCAAAATCTTCTCATTTTTGAAATCGCTTACAGTGCTACGTAGATTTTAGTTTGTTGGTCCTATCGATGACAATAAAAATCTGGTACTAGTGCTAGAGTAGACAATATTACATAAAGTGAATTTTACTTTTTAGTTTTAATAAGTAGAATAATGAACTTTTCAATATATTTTATTTATTATTAATAAAATTCAACACATGCTACTTAAAGAGCTGTTAAGTTTATTTTACACTAGCTGCTCCCCGTGACTTCGCCTACGTGGGATTTATAACGATTGTATTTCATGGGTTTTAATTTTTTTCCGCGCAATCCTAATTCTTTTTCTAAAATAAAAGTAGCCTATGTTACTCTTTATAACATCAGCTATCTGCTGTCAAAATCGGTTCAGCTGTTTCAGAGTTAGCTGGAACAAACAGACAGACAGACAAAAATTTTGCAATTGTTTTTTTTTTCTAATAAATACCGTATATACCTTCATAAACATTTAGTAAAAAGTTGTTATGTTGAAATTACAAACAGACATTTCAACTTTAATAGATTTTTTAAACCTTAATTTTTCTAAGCAACAGAATTCAGTTATAATCTATGTAACATCAAAATAATAGTAGCACCCTGTAAACGATACCGCATTGCCATCTACTTTCCGGATTACTTTTGTAAAGAGGGATCATTTATTTCTTTTCTTTCGCATGACTCCCAAACTTTTGTAGCACTACGATAATTCTTTTTAAAATAACCAAAACTGGAAAAAAAAATTTTAAATTTAAAACATATTTTATATATTATGTTACATTACCTGGAATGGTAATCCATCCATTATAGCCTGCTGACTCCTATAAAACGCCACTGCTGAACTTAGGCTTATAGAGAGGGGAGGGTTTGGAGTTATGCCATAGTTGCCACGCTTGGCAGGCGAATTGGCAACTGCAATATTTTATTATTTTTAGTTATTATCAGAAAGATACTGTTTCAGTTTACCTCTGCCACCTCTTTCAGCACCCAGCCACGGGACGATATCGGGTAGTGGATATTCTTACACCAAAACTACACGGTAGATATTATATTCACTTCACATTAAATTGATAATAAAGAAAGGATTTAATACGCGTAATTAGTAATAAATTTAACTTATAATCGATATAAAAATATTTCGGTGATATGTGAAGTGTGATACGTAACACCCACATCGATATAAATACAATTTATAGATAAATAAATATATACGTTCTTCTTAACGGAAAATATTTTAAATATACATAATCCGCGATGCTTGTAGTAAGTTCAAAGTTTGAGAACACCTGATATATCGTGTGAATAATCGCAGTAAGCTTTGTCGGGATTTGATGAAAGAATTCGGGAACTCCCGAGGGCACAAGATGACGTCACCTCAGTTTCCCACCTACGTCTTCAAAATATTGCTTTGTAAAATGCGTTTTCGAGAAAATATAACAAATAAGACACCGCTTTACGCAAAAATATTAAATGTAAAGCAAAATAAAAAATCAATGCTTCTTTTTAGAATGTTTGTGAAAACATCTTGGACAATATGTAATTACCAAGTATCTCACTCAATACGTAGAACAATGTTTAATTCTGAATTCTGATTAAAAAAACAATAATTTATTTCAATCCATTCATTTTTTATTTTTTTTTTGTTTATTATTTAACTTCTTACCCCCTAAGAGGCCATGTATATCTCATAATAGTCTTTGCCTCAGCATTAAACTTTTACAAAGTTTTCATGAACCCGTAAAAGTTCAATGGTTAACCTCCGTTGTGAAAAGTATTTGCCTTAATCATCACGCTTGGTATAAGTTGCGGCACGAAAATCTAGCGGTGACCGTTATTGTGCATAAGTCCCGCTGATTGGCTCGTGCGTATCGTACGCACGCACTGATTGGCTCTCCAGTCGCATTTGTGCAATTCAATTCGTGCGCGTCCAACGATTCGTTCAGCGCTAGACTTACGTGCCGCGACTTTAAGGCGAATTGACGATTGCTTTACCAGTCGATGGTTCGACTATTTAGCGCCTGGCGTAAAATGTTTATTCCGACATCTTTCGGAAGCCATGTTTATATTTCTGGCATATCCCGTAGTAGCTTCATAGTACGCTCACAATATGAAAATAGAGTGGTGGATTCTCTTATGCTATTACCGCATTATGTACTTACTACGCATTACGTCATTGAATAGAATATTTAACACTTTTACTGTTTAATTTACAGACATAATAGTAAGACAATAGCAATGAACCATATGTGGGTCATAACACAGGATATATGTTAATATAAGCTTTTATCGTTAGTTCGGAATAATTTTTCTGTCCTGGGAAATACCAAAAACAAACCAAACGGGACTTTTTAAATATTAATTTACACTGTAATATTTTGTACTACTATGAAACATTCAGAAACAACATGATAGCGATCATCACATTCCCAGAGGTTTTAATCAATCATGTACTCTTTAATAGTATAATAACCAGTAATATACAATTTATGCTTAATAAAATTTTTAGTTTTTAATAGATAGGTCCTGCATATTTTCTGGGACTTTATTGTAAACGCATTACCTAACCCATGAATAATTTACTGACTCTTTTTAAAGAGTCGAGTGGAGTAACTAGTATTACTAGCTTGTATTTGTTTACAGTATTTACAGAATGCTTAACACTATTATAAGTAAATCTATTTTTGCTTTTGTTTACTTACAAACATAAAATTTTCGAAAGTTGATATAAATGTATAAAATAAAATTAATTTAAGTTTTTCTCTAAGACACTCTTTCGGATTTTGTTAGAAATTGCTCTTAATATGGTCTTCTGCAAACAAAGAAGGTTTCAATGTCAGTTGCAATTACCACATTGAACGTCTCACTGTGTGCACAGTTTTATAATGGCGGACGCAGCTCCAGCCGGTGGATGTGGCGATGGAGGCTTTGGTACTTGCGGTGGCGATAGGGATCGTGGAGGCTCGCGTGGCCGTGGACGTGGTCGTGGACGCGGTCGCGGTCGCGGCAAAGAAGACCAGAAAGAGTAGGTGCCAGTCAATAAACTAGGACACTTGATGCGAGAAGGAAAAATTGACAAGCTTAAGAGCATGTATCTGATCGGTTTACCCATTAAAGAATTTGAAATAATTGATTTCTTCCTTGGAGCTTCTTCGAGCGATGAAGTTCTTAAGATTATGCCTGTACAGAAACAAACGCGTGCAAGACAACCCACGTGCCTTAAAGCGTTTGTAGCCATTAGAGACAACAATGGACATATTGGGATTTGTGTTAAATATAGCAAGGACTTCCTTGCTACATTTAACACAAGTCCCAAGCCACTGCCATCAGAGGATATTATACTTCCTAAATTATCAGTGCTCCCTGTCCGTAGAGGATACTGGGGTAGTAAAATTGGAAAACCTCACACTGTGCCGTGCACGGTCACTGGAAAATGTGGATCAGTAACTGTAACAAGTGCAGGTATCATCACCCCGTGGTATCTGCTCCAGTTCCTACAAAAGCTACTCCAGACGGCTGGTGTTAAAGATTGTTACACTTCTGCTCGCGGAGCAACTGGTACATTGGGCGATTTCGCTAAAGCAACCTATGCTACAATATCTAAGATCTATGCCTACTTGTCACCAGACTTATGGCGGGACATCCCATTGACTAAGCCACCATATTGTGAATTTAAAGTCCAAAAGTATAACAAAATAAAAGCAGCAAGATTCCACACTAAATTATGCTATGGAAATAACTAAAATAAATGTGGCTATTTCAACACATGTTAGGCTTCTAATATTTTTTCACAAAATATGCAGCATAAATAAGTTTGCTTGCTAGTTGAGATATATGGGGATCCCATTGAAGCTTCGCGTCAACTGTTATTCTGTCAAAAATAGTGGATTCAACATACCTGTTCAATATTGGATGTTGTGAATTTAATACATTATTAATAGAAACCCGTAAAAATTGTTTTTTCAAGCTTTAGAACTCGGGTAAATTTAAGTAAATGTAACACCATCAAGCCGCAAATCCATTTCATTAGTTTTACCTCTCATTTACACCAAAAAGTAAACTAAAACATAATGTTATAAACGTATTATGTTTATAATATATATAGATCGATAGTGTGATGTAGATCCCAGTATTCGATAGGGTTGTAATTAATGAAATTGTATGTCACCGGTTCCTCTTGGGAACGACACCCCTTCTTTTCGTTAGTAATGTTTGATTTACCCAACTTTATACTTTTAATCAGATTTCACTAGTAATGTGTATATATATATATATATATATATATATATATATACACATTACTAGTGAAATCTGATTATAGATTATATATATATATACACACATAAGGGCTGATTTTTCAATAGTCAGATAAAAGTTATCCGTCGTATAAATTATAAACCGACTGAATATAAAAGTGATGAAATATGAAAGTGACACCATTAAACTATTTTATTCATACAACTGTAATCTTTAATTGTTTATGTTGGCTTTTAACCTATGAATAAATTTATAAATATATTTGATATAAATAATCAGCGGCCATACCGCAACGTCCGCGTGTTACCAGGACGTAGTTTACGAGAAATACCGCTATCATACTGTAGCCGTTCTTCCGGCATCCCGGCGATATTTAGCTAACTATGCTCAATAACGCCATAAAATGTCTCTATTATGTGGTAACAACACTATTTTACGGTGTATTAATTACTCTATGCATTACTTTTTTATATTTTTAGCGTGGCTACTATAGCCCATGAATATCTACCAGCTTTTTTAAACAAAGGAGGTTATAGGTGGATTGGATGCTTCGCAGGTTATAACTATAATAGCTTCCTTGCCGTTTAGTTTGAAACTTAACAGCACTATTGGCAACATAAATACGTGAGAGGGTGGTACCATCCTAGTCAAACTCCTAGGCAATAGAAGTGCCCTATCAACTACGCTTTAAATTTAATTAATTTCCCATTTGAAAGATTTTTTCTGGTTTGTTCTTATTTACCTAGATTCTATCCGATTCTACAGCTTTAAAGAGTTTAAAAGCAGTGTGTGAGTTTACGTTCGTAATAGGTAATTATTATAATAGGTCAGCCGTCCCCCAACCAGTGGGTACGAGTATGCAAAGACTTAAATCTAAGTTAAAATAAGCTAAAAGTAAAACACATACACAACACATGTTAATTAAATTACTATTAAATATAAACAGTTTTAAGTGTAAACAGTGTTGTTGCATCAGAAATGTGATAAATTTATTACTTTTTTTTATTTATTTTTATTTATTTAAAAGGACAACCAACAAGATGAACACTAATACATGGATATTAAGGTAACATGAATATAAAACTAAAGCTAAGCGTCATCTTAATTATAGGCTGCCACGGCATGCAAATGTTACAAGTATTTTTTTTAAATATGTAACTTGTATGTTTAAATATTAAAGAGCATTGTGGGTTTATATTGTTTGTTATCTCAATAGCCTGAAATAACGGAAAGGAAGTAGCTATTCAATGCTGTTATTGACGGGTGGGCATGACTGGTAGCACGAAACACTAATTGTGCTTAGCATTCAAAGTATGGCGTTTATGGACATAAAAAAGAAAGTAAAATGTCTACAACGATAGAAAATCTTATAAATACTTTTTTATAGGATAGAGTGACAAACGAGCACACATTCCACCTCATGGTAAGTGATTGCTGTGGCCCATAGACATCTACATCTATCCTCGTTTGCGAATCAAAATGCAGATGCGTTGTCACCCGTGAGGACTAACATGGAATGCCTCTTTTCCAGTAAAAAGGGTCTCCGGTTCTCTACACTCACCATACGAAACACAGCAGTTTTAAGCTGCTATTTTACGCTGGTATTCTGTGAGAGCGTGGTCCTTACCCGGCCGAGCCGACCCATTCGTGCTACAACTTTACTACTAATATAGCTGCAGCATGGCTCTACCACGTACAAATTTTGATTTGCCATTGATGAAGAAGATTAAAGATCATAGACATCAAAACTAATAGTTATATTATAGATTAATTAATTAATTAATTAGGTTTAGAAACCGTTTTACTTGCAGAAAAATAGCTAAATACCGTATTGCATGCCGCAGCGCGATAACATTGTACATTGCAGCTGAAAGGTCGAAATACTGGTTGTCACAATGGCAGCTTGGCTTGTGATTTAGGGCGGCGCGACGCAGCCATACAGCGAGGCCGGAGCGAGATTAACTTTCGCCTGTTAATTACGACAAATGGTCATTGAACGACGAGATATGGACTACGAGATACTACAGCTACGTTATCGGGAAAATAAATTTTGCAAATATTGTTTACACTTTGGTGCTTAGTACAGAAATAGTATGTGCCCTGTGACATTGACAAGGTAAATCCATTTTTTATATTTATTTACTCAATCAAAATGATTTTAATGAATTTACTCGATGACTTCGCCTATTGTATTTAATTTGTTTTTTTAAATATTTATGTAATCTAAATAGAGGAGGCAAATGGATATGCGGCTCAACTGAAGGTGTAACTACCGCTGCCTTTGAACACCCACCCGCACCACCAGAACAATTTTGCAGGTAGGTTGTAGTGGTGGCCCTTTATAAGGGACTATTCCTTTCTCTGCTACTCCTGCTAATCTCTTAAATGTCCCTAAGTCGTTTTGTCCGGAAAACTACTGATCAATAAGAACAGGAAATTCCACAAAGTAGTTAAGTGTTGTAGGAGGAAAATTGTAATATTCAAAAGTTTTATTTGTATTTGTTATATTATTATTATTAAAAATTTGGGTTTTCATGACTTTATTTATTAATTTATTTAAACATCTTAAACCACGGTAGCATAATTTCTTTAAGGTATTAGTGAACATCAATAATTTTGTAAAACTTTTAAGCAAAAATATTTTTAGATATGATCTCTGTTTTTCTTTTATTCTTCTTTTCGGCTCGCAACAGACTACAGCTGGTCTTTCTCGTCGATTTTCCATGCCCAGTTTGGAAGGTCATATTTAGCGGTGCACGCTCGAACTCTAAGCCTATGAATGCTGGTGTTCCAAGAAGCTGCGTTCAATGTACTGGGCACTCTAGTAGTACTCGTGGTTGTTGTACTATTATTTATTCTATGGTAGTAATCTAATTTTGACAGCCATATTCTATCTAATCGGCTTAATCCACTTACCAAGTAATAACAACACCGACCACTGTGAAAACATGGAAATAATATCGGAATTGTTAACTACGCAGTGTACAATGTGTACATTGTTTTTTAGCTAAAATGTTGTATGCCACTAGGAAACCAGGATTCAAACCTTACATTGACGGCTAAAAAATATGAGTTATGTGGCTTTTATATTTTGACAAATTGAGTCATAATAAAAATACCGCAGACAGCCATTGCTATTTTTAAATAGCTCTATTTTCTTCGCCCTCTAGTTTTGATTTCATCTAATACAATTTTGATTCTGAATTGTTTTATTGCCGCTATTCGATACTAGATGGCATGAAATCGAATTCAACTGATATTGTATATTTATTGAATAACATAATAGCTTTATTTACTACTTCAAAATATTTCTTAAATATTCATACAAGTTGTCTTATTTTATGCAAATTTTCAATAGTATAATTTATGGAATGAAATCGTATAGTTTCGACATTTATGGGTAAGTTGAAGAAGGGTGTCAACCGTCCCTTCACAAATGGCGAATTTTAACACCGGCAGACATCAGAAATGTAAGTGGTTGCTCGATGGTTTTATTTTCTGCGGAGCAAGTTGTAAATCACCATATAAAATTGGGATTACAAATAGGATCCAACTTACTTATGTACCTACCGTGTGACCGTCAAGACTAAATATTCCTATCCTACCTTACTAAGTTATTACTTACGAGTATTAAAGTTTGCGTCTCGAATTTTTGCATTGTAATATAATCATCATCACTTGATTTCAAAAACAATTCACTTGATTGCTCGAATAATTCTACTAAACAGTACTATTTTCTATATTTATATTTTAGATGTATAATCAAGTAATAAACATAAATAAATAAATAAAAACGAATATATCGATGTCGATAGTTGGTAACATTTTGAACGAAATCACTATAGATTCTCATGTAACAATACTTACAACATAATATGAAATATTTCTGAATCTAATTTTAGGATTTTCTCTGAATCTAAAATAAACTCGTCAGATGTTTATTGAGTATTTGCCTTTTCCCTACGTAAAAATTGCTTTGGCTTTTTACACTTTCCATACGTTTATTACGGAATAGCCCTATTTCTAAAGATCACTTATTTTACAGAAATAATTTTTATTCACAGTTGGTTTTCTTCATCAATTTTGGCGCAACATTTAAGTCGATAAACAGTTTTACATCGAGTTTTCTGCATCATGGCTAGTACAGTATTTATTTAAAAAAGAAAATCGATTTAACACTCGCTTCGATACTGTGATAGTCAACCTGGCACCTCTGAATGAAGTGTGGTTCCCACCAAACTTCGACGAAATCAAAGGTTTTTTCATAGTCTACATACCCAAAAAGTGAACACACGATTACATAACAGAGAACAAACCATAAGTTAGCTTAGCCTTGAAACAATAGATATAAGCAATCAGTGCTGAAATCATTGAATAACATTGTTGTTAATAACACAGAATATACTGACAATTTCATTATTGGTCTCCGCGGCAATGACGCTTTTGCGAATATACTAAAGTATAGGAGTTTTTAAGCCCTACAACT